ACTGTTACTGTAATAAATTGAAGTGAGAAAAGGAGACGATAAATTAGAAAGATGAGGCAGATGGTAAATCGCAAGTATAGATAAAAAAATAAATTACCGGCGTTAAATGCTGCACTAGATGTTGATAGGCCATATGCAACGTGAGCTAGAGCATCAATGAAGAATATCAATTTGATTAATCGGACTTCAAATATTAGCTCATTTCTCATCAGTTTCTCGTCATCTTTATCATCCACATTATCCGTACAAATCTCAACATCCATACCGTTGTCATCTTTAACAACTATTTTCTCTTCTGTGCTGCTATTCTTTGTATTTTTTGAAGGAGTTATTAATGCAAGGATTTTTACCTTGAATTTTGATGTTAATCCAAGTATCGGTTTTTTGAATTTCACTATTAATGGATACAAAACAAATAAAACAAATACTTTTGTTCCGCTCATTAAGAATACAAAATAACCCTGGTCTAGTAACGACCAATTAAATACTAATGACGTATATAATACATATACAGTTGACATTGCCATTATAGAAGATGACAGCAATGAGTATACTATTCCTAATAGTGTGAATGAATATTTTGGAGCAGCGATAGGAATTTTATCATTATCATTATCTTGTTGTCGTCGTCCATTCGGAAGAAATAATAGCAATGGTCTGAACATAACGTAGACCCATCTGAGAACAGAATCAATCGATTTGAATCCCGTCCAGTTTATTGCAAATTGCTCTTGTTGACGTTTCACATTCAATGCCAATTTTTCCTTTGTTAAAGATTCAGGTAATATAAAAAGATAAAATAAAAATAACGTAATATATACTGCCAAAGTTACATAATATACTGAAAGTAAACTATTTGTTGCCTTCACCAACAATCCTCCTAATGTTGGCCCCGCCATAAACCCTGCAAACATTGTCCCTTGTATCCATCCAAAAATCACACTCCTATTAACGTTCAGGAGGGTGTTTGTACGAGAGAAATAAATAATTAGGAATAGATATTGGAGAAAATTTTTTGTTACCACAGCAAACAATACAAAAATTACCTTCGTGTGGGATGAGTAGAATCTGTTGCATATGCATAGCTTGCTTCTGATAATGCATAAAATCCACCTGTTACTCCGTCTATGAATGATCCTATTAAAAATCCATTCATCCCAACCTTGTCGAAAAATCTACAAACTAACAATAGGTTTAACGTGCTTAGAAGCGTTCCGAAGGCTGATATCAATAAAGTTTTTTTACGCCCCTTCCGATCTGATAAAGAACCAAGTGGTCCAAGAACAAATATGGCTAATAATACACACCGGTAAATTAGTTGAATCATGCCAAGTTATTTCTTTTTAAAAGATTATTTACCTGGGATCGCTGTACAAAAATTTGCTTTGACAAGAAATTTAGCAGTCACTGCCTGCACATCAGCATTATTACATTCATCAATAGCACCATGAAATGATAAAGGAATGGAAGCCTCCCCATTTTGTGAATAATATTCATAACATGCAGCACTTAAATAAATTTGCACTCCAACTGCTACGGCCAACCCGCTTGTCATTGCTATCACTACAAACATTGGTAATAACCAATATGCAGAAGGTGTCTTGTACCATGGTTTTTTAAGAGGCAAAGTTGGGGTGGAAGGTTCTTGTTCTTCGATTTCAACATCGATCTTATCAGAAGTGGACCTTGTAGTCATTTTTTTTTTTTTGCACAAAAATAAAAACTAAAAAAAAATCTTTCATCGAGATAAAAAATGTAACTATATATATATAAGAAAATTTACAAAAGAATGTACGTGTTTTGAGGTTTTTGTTATTAATTACTATTCTCCATTTTGTCTACGTATATCTGATAAACCTATTCCATAAAGTTTGGCTTAATTATCAACTTGGTGTTAATCAAGTATAAAAACTTATGTATGACTTGTCTTTTTAGGAAACAATGGTTCGATTTATTATTATGGATAATCAGCATGTTTCATGATTGTAATTGGGCACTTTTAATTTCCGCTGTACTTAAACCGGATTTAATTTATTATTATTATAGCTTGGTTTGAAATTAAGATTTGGTCAAATCATTTCAAAATGTTAACTAATATTGTTGCAACACACAACAATAACTAAATTCACTCAAAACTTTTACTAAATTCAGATTTCAATATCTAAAAAAAAAAGGGTTTTAAAAAATTCAGATCTTAATCTCCATATATAGATCCGGTTTAAAATTGTTTGAACCTGAAAATTCTAAAATCCAATTGGTTTGAGCACAGCCGAACACTGCTCATGACTTTATCAACGAATATCAATGAAATAATCATAATAGTAATAAACGCACAAGTGATTTACATGGCACAGATTCTTGACGACAAGGATTTTCCGCGTAATCAAGATGAAATATTTCCCCTATCCTTAAGAAGAACGCTCAAATGCATTGCCAGGACCTCAGAAATTCATAATTGAACTGATGTGGAAGGAAGGGTGGGTGGAGCTAAAAATAACTTTTGTGAAAATTTTAAGGTAAAAAAAAAAATTTACCATGTAGAAAAATTATTGAAAATAGGAAATTTGACTGATTTTCTAAATTTTGTGGGCACCATTGGATGTAAGTGTAAACCTAACTTTGAAGCCTTATAACTCGAAACCTTTCTAATAAAAGGAAAAGGTAAACTGACGGAAATGAAGCTTAGATCTTTAGTTTTAATTCTATCAGTTTACTTTTTCTTTTTCTTTTTAGTAAAGAGTTACAAGCTTTTAAAGTCATGTGGTAATAATTGACCATTATTTATTTCTACGCGTCTTGATAAGTGGCTTATTTTTCAATTAGGTAAAATCAAAATTAGCCACTGTAGATCATAGTGAAATTCGGGTTATATATACTCTACCCTTAAGGGTAGCGTGTAGTCATGTGATTTTATATAATGATCGGTGAAGATAAATAATTCCCGAACCCCTTTTAAATCACTTGTCTCATATACAGCTATACCAAAAACTAGTTTTCATGAGACGAAAATTAACACAGAATCCATTTTCAGCATATATCCAATCATATATGGTACGTATCACATATACTCATCGAAAATTTTCATATGACTTCTAACTGTATCTAGTCCACCGATTTTAAAAAGTAAACGGTGCGAATGATAGCTTAACTGATTCTCTTTAAATTCCACAGATTAAATTTTTTAATTACTTAATTTTTTGGGGAGTTGATGGTGTTTAAAAGTAGTCAATTTTATTAATAAATGTCCAAATTTCGGACGACGATCACTACCAAATAGTGTATATTTTTATCACGTGAAAATTTATGGCTAAATGAATTTAGGGACGGGGCTATGGTCCATTATTTGTTCATTATGTTCAAATGGCTGAGCTGCTAAATAGAGTTGGTCAAAAACCGCTTCAAGCTTGGTTCTATTTCTTGAAGCAATCTTTGTATTTCATCAAAATCGTATATAGGACCTTGATGGCTCTAGTGAAATCAATCTTTTCATTTACCCCCTTCCGCATCTGTAGTTTTTACTCTCCCAGGTTCTCTTTTTAAAGGATTTTCTACAAAATTCATATAAAAAATGTTACATAAAAAACACGTTACCTTCACTAAGTTGTTGTTCCCAGCCTCTTTCCATTTGTTGCCTTTTGTTGACGAAATTTAGCTGATTCGGTGGGTTTTACATTCTGTGCAACGTTTAATCTCACGCAATTTTTCTTCGAGTAAATCGTATTATGAAAGTTGTGGGATTCAAAAGATATGATAACAACAAATATATATAACAATAATGTTATTACACTGAGTTTTTTAATGATCGGTAGTCAAAAAATTATCTATATTAATATTAATATAACTGTATCGTAGTAAAATTCGTGTTACAAAATATATCATATAGAAATGGATGGCAAAATGTGTCAATCATTTGAAACCACAACATGATTTAACGTTAAACGCCTTTAATCCATTTAATATAACAAAAAATATAATTTATTCAGATATAATGACCATTTGTTATTACAATTTGTCATTACAAAATAGATATATTACATTGACCTGTTGATAATTGTTTATACCCTTTAGCAAAAACAGCCAAGCGTTGTGGTGTCCAAGTTTAATGATATTTTACTAATTTATTACTTTCTCTATGATCTAATTTTACTATTTCAGGAATAATTGATAGTGCTATTATATACAGTTGACAAATCAATAATAAAATAATACTTCTCTTATTTTTACGTTTTACAAATCACATAAGCCACATAAATATTTGATATGTCCAAGCTTTTACAGAATCTTGAGCTCAGGCGAATGAATTAATGAATAAGATCCTTAACCTTCACCCATAAATTACTAATCTAACTTTATTGTTGGATAAATTGTGAATTAAAAAAATAATAATACATTGCAAATATATAAGATATATATATAGATAATGGAAGCCTGCATGAATAATTACTTGAATATCTAAACATCCCAAAAAAACGTTTCTTACTAAATTGTTTGCTTATGTAAAGAGTTTGTGGTTGATGTTAAAAGCTAGTAATGATTTATACCAATGTAGTTTCATTTCTATTTATTACTACATATATTATATATATATTATAAAAATGAAATATTATTAGTATAACTTTTTCTAAATTTTTTTTTTATAAATCGATAGTTATTAAGGTTAACTTGAAGATTATTCATTTAATTTAACAAAAACATATAGTAGAGGACAAGAATTTGTAACTTTACTTATAGAATTCGTGGCATATGTTGAACTTTATTATCAAAATTTATCAAAAGCACACCATCCAATAGCCTTAATCCTAGAGAGTTTCAATTTTTTTTGTCAATATGATGTGCTGTGTAACTGAACTCTACCCTTGAAAAAATTTAATTGGTGCTCACTGCGTCTATATAGTTCTTTTGATTTTTTTTTGTGTAATGTTGTGTCAACACGTCCAACATTTATTATTTTGTTGTTTATTATTCGCGTAAATAGCCATTTAATATACAAATCCAAAAAAATGAACTCATACCGAAAAAAACTTATCGAATCTTTAATTATTAATTACTGGAATCGAAAGACGATTTCTAAAAACATAGGGTTTTACAATTGCCTTCAACAAATTGGCACGAAGATTAATTTGACTTCAGATGATAAGCAGGAAGTTCATAGACTTTACTATAGTATACTTTCAACTCTTAGTGAAGAAAGCTCAATCAGCCAACCAGTGAGAAAAAAGATGGAAGCCGAGAAAAAGGATTTTATGGTATGCATATATGCAAGGGAGGCAAAGTGAGGCAAATGAAACGAGTTGCAAACTATTAAATACTTTTCTCTCTACTACAGAAAACAATCAAATCTCTTGAAGTGACGAAATTCTGGGAAAGTAAACAAGGAGAGTCGTATAGAATCACTTTAGACGGCCATACGCGAAAGGAAAAGATGTATTTAAGCTCCCTTCATCTCACGCAATTGCAGGAGGAAGATGCGAATGAAATCGCAGAGGAAAAGGATGAAACCACAGATGAATATGCCTGTATTGAGAATGAAGCGTTTGATGTGGAAAATAACGAAGGTGATGATGATTCTACTACACACAACCAAGCACTTGTTCCAAATGAAGACATCCAATATGTTGAAAGAGATGAGCCGGATGCCATATATCGAACTCGACGTTGGATATTATCTAGTGGTACAGATGTGGGTCAAATTTTGTCTGAATACAGGCAAAAAATTCCAGAGTCACAAAAGTGTATTAAGTGAGTTAGCTTTTTTACTACCAACTGTGTTAAAATCCAAATATTCATGACAACTACTGTTTTCCTTATATAGCCCCATCTACTGGGGAATCCTCGATTTGACAGGATCACACCCAGAAACCAAACGACTTTTTTCCCCAAAAGACTGGGCCGAAATGACAAAAAGCTTTGAAGATGAAATAGAATTTAACAAAGGAGATATACCTGATGTTTTATATCTGTTTTTCGATGAAGTTGAACTGGTAATTAATGACAGTCAATATACTCTTACATTTAAGATTTGGTCTCATTAATTCATTCATTTTAGATAATTAAAAGTAATGAAAGGAGTGAAGATATTATCACAGAAATTGAAAACATCTCCCCACAGAAAATGGAAACAAAGCATAATATCATTCTTAACCCTAAAGACAAAATTATGTTAATGAAATTCAAGAGAGCTACTCTTATTTAGTAAGTGAAGTATACTACAAATATTTGTCTTGGGAAAAATTTTGTAATCTGAATTTCTTCAACTATATTTATAATTTCATAGTGCAGAGAATTTGGCTTATGTTGATTTGCCGGTATCTGAGTCTGCTTTCGATAATTTGTTCACTAACATGCTTACAAGAAGATCTCTTGATGAAAATGAATTGAAAATGGATATGTGAATGATCAT